TCCATACCACAGCATAAATCAGCCTGAACATCGGAAACTGACCTTGGTTTCCTGAGAGTAAATGGAATATCTCAGTTTCCCTGCCCTCTCACTATTGAATATCTCAGTTTCCCTCACAATGATTATAGATCAGTCAATGACATAGTCCTTTGACTTGTGAACTGAGAAATCTAGACATCTGTTAACAAGCTCCATCCTTTCTTATAACTTGCAGTTCCCTAGAATCAGACTACAGTGCTATTCCCCTCCATACAACTGAAAAACATTGCTTTCACTATTAGTCTTTGAAAGAAAAAAAAAAGGAAGGGAAAAAAAAAAAGGGTTTCAAGATTTTCAAGGTGATTCTCTCTCATTTAAAATGTTCTCCCTTCAAAGATTCTTGGAGCAATTGTATTTTTTCTTAGCTTTCACTTAATCCATTTATAACCCCTTAGTAATAATGAGGAAAATTAAAGTCAGACATGGGGGGAGGCCGCTTTACATGTTATTTGACCCCACCTAACACTTCAAACATCTGTTAAAAAATACATTTTTCAATGTTTCCACATTTACTCTTACTATTTCATTAGGAAACTTATCTTCATATATTCTTCCTGCAGGATTAAAAAAACACCCTTCTTCCTGCTTATGAAAGTGATTGTACTGTAGGCTATCGTGTTTGCTCAAAAAAGACACCCTCTCTAGTCAGTGAGGGTTGATACTCTGGTAATCTATATAGAACTTTCATAATAACCCATATGGTCTCCAAGAATATATTTTAATTGTTTTACTACAGAAAACAACCAACCAACCAACCAAAAAAAGATTAGTATCCAATGATTTCAAACATAATTTGAACATAGAACTCTTGGGGATTATTTTGTCCTAAAGTTTAGTTAAAGACAGGAAAAAATTGAGTGTAGAAGACAGTAAGTCCTTTTATGGCAGGTCACGTGACAGAACTCTTTCCTAGGTATCTCACATGGTGGCCTGTTACTCCAACTGTCAAGCAAAATTTATAAACTGCATGATATCTGCCAATACAAACAAATTACCAACATAAAAAAAAATCATTCTGTATATACTGGTTTAAAAATAAATAAAAACATGTGTGACATGATTTTAATGTATTGCAGCATCACAAATTGCTTGGTTTATTCAAATATATAGACACAGTGGTTCTTCTTTCAAAGCAGTCAAATATCACCCAGTCTTGACATAATGGTACAGCATAGCTCTAGTATGTGAAATAAATATGGTTCTGGGTCATTATGATTCAGAAAGCAGTCTTTGTGTTGCTGCTGTATCATGTTTTATGAGTACAAAATTCCATGAAGTACAGTAATTTTTATCTGTTCAAGAGGGAAGGAACATTGAATGCTAACATTTGTAAAACAGTTCAGTAAGATTATAAAGCGGACAGCAAGAAGAATGAGTTTATGAAAAGACTGTATCTCTGTGGGTCATTAGAAGGGAACTGAGATATGAGTTAGCAACTTGAGCTTTCTGTGATGACACATGAGAGCAGTGAACCACAAATCCAACATAAATACAATGGTCTATGGTCTGCTCTTAAACCACAACAAATGTGAAGCTCAAGTAACTGAAAATTTAATGTCTGTTTTCTATGTATTTGCTTTTATTGATCATTCTATCAAGCCACCCTGTATATATGAAATTTATTTAAAGGACAATTGCTGGTTTTCTATACAGTGAGCTACAACACAGTTTCATTTGGTTCCCAAGGTCTCATGTATGACAGTGTGAGATCCTTGTTTATGACGTGTCTAAAATGAATTTTAAGTGGCATTGACATATCAACTCTTATTTATTCTTTTAAAAAGATCACTAGCAGAAACAGTATGAGTGATTTTGCACTCTTAGTATTTGTAAGAGTATCAAGGTTGAGTTAGATTTTTATGTTAGGGAAGAATTAGAGTTTACACCATTATGATTTTTTTTAATCTCGTTGGTTAAATTAACTTCAGCAAGGTCTGTACACACAATAGTCATATAGCTTGCATGGTATAACAGTATTTCCACAATAAAAAAAAAGGAAAATATTTTCTACCACTGAAAAACATAACTGTACTTAATAATAACATTTTATAAATCATATTTCATATCTTGCATTAAAATTTTCTATATCAGGACAGAGAAAAAATATGAAAGGAAATTTTAAGTAAAAAGTCAATCTCTGACAGGAACACAAGCAAAATTTGCTAAATATTACAGAAACTCAAGTAAGAGACCTCTCAGTTTCAAAAAGGAGGAAGACAAGCCAAGAAAGGATCATAAAGATAGTCTTCGGTTTTAAGAAAAAAATAAAGACAGTAGCTATCAAGTCCTCCTTTTGCATCACCTATATATCATTGCACTTGCAAACAGTTCTTTACTATCTGGAATACTTTCTGGTGTTTTGTTTGTTTTTATCCACTTGCAAAGCTTGGCTTATAATAACCTAAGTATAAACATGCCACTACATTTCGAGTAAGTGGAAAGGTCATTCTTGAAAGTGAATTCCTTCCAACATGTAGTTAAAAATAATCTATAGAGGTGGACTTCAGTGTTAGGTCCTAATTAAAATAATTTCAGTAGTAGAGTGAATATTAAGCTCATGTATTTCTTTCACACTGTGTTTATTGTTCCAGTGCTGTAGTGGAAATCTCTGACTACATAATCAGTAAATCACTGCGGAAGCCCCAAAAGAGTCCCAGCCTTTCCTCTTGTCTTCCTCAATTCTCTCTTGTTCTCTTCGCTGAGGATGAACAAATTACCAAGGGACATTTCAGGCTGCAAACTCATTATCTCTTCTCTAATTATAGACACACACACATAACTACTAGGCATTTGTTCTCACTTATATGATTTATCTGCATAAGTTCCTGCAAAGGGTGACCTAGCAAACTTAGCAGAGACCTGACAGGTTCAATTCCAATGAGAAATAAAAAACAGGATACCTGTCTAGCAAGATTCAGAAGACTTGAATGTTTTTTTAAGCATCAGAGACTGTTTAAGTAGGTAGCACTACACAAAGGTAACCAGATGAGAACCCCTCAACCTCTTCCAAAGGCAAAACGAACAAAACAAATCAAAAACAACCACTGTTCAGCAACAAATTCTGAAGAAGTTTAAATTTCAAATTTTCCAAACTACAAATACAGACTATCGCCCAACTATGACTAAAATTAATTGCTATTCAAAAAAATAAAGATGGTAGGAGTTTTGACAGTGATGACAGTGTTGCTCAAAAAGAGTAACAATATATATTTACGTATAGTGCATAAATGGTCAACATACAATACCAACAGAGTCCCAAAGTGTTTTTTGCTGAGACCTATGGCATTCAACACAAATCTATAAAAAAAAAGATAACTAGTGACAAGGTTTTCCTTGATACAAATGCTGAATTCAGGACGAAGAAAACAAAAGAGTGCTATAAAGAGTACAGAAATGCATGCAGCATAGGGAATAAGCAAGAAGGACTAAAAATCTATGTGCAGTCTCACTGAAATTCAGAGATGGTGTCATAGCTCACATGCCTGGAATATTGTCATGGATGGCTACATACTCAGGATTGCTCAGAGATGTGAGGTGGTGGATTTGCTCTTTATGAGAGAGAGCAACTGGAATGTACCAAGGCCTACCCAAGGACAGACAAACGACTTGAGAACCCATGGGTAAAAGTTAAGGGACAGGCTAATATGGGTGACACTGTTGCGGGTGTTTACTACAGGCCATCTGATCAGGAGGAGGAAGCTGATGAGGTTTTCTATGGGCAGCAGGAAATAGCCTCGTGGTTACAGGCCCTTGTTCTCCTTGGGGACTTCAACCATCCTGATATTTGTTGGAGGGACAACATGGCTCAGCACATACAGACCTGGAAGTTCCTGCAGACCACTGGAGACAACATTTTGATGCAAGTCATGGAGGAGCCAATGAGAAAAGGTGCTTGACATTTTACTAACAAACCAGGAGGAACCGGCTGAAGACATGAAGGCTGGAGGCAGCCTGGCTGTAGTGACCATGAGATGGTGGAACTCAGGATCCTGCATGAGGGAAACAAAACAATAGGCAGGACTAGAGCCCTGAACTTCTGGAGAGCTAACTTCAGCCTCTTCAAAGACCTACTTAGAGGAATCCCATGAGTTAGGGCTTTAGAAGAGAAGCAAGTCCAAGAGAACTGGTCAATATTCGAGCATCACTTCCTCCAAACTCAAGATCAGTCTATTCTCATGATAAAAATATCCGGCAGAGGGGGTAGGAGACCTGCATGAATGAGTAGGGAACTTCCAGTAAATCTCAAAGAAAGAAATTTATGGGATGTGGAAAAAGAGACAGGCCACATGGGAGGGTTACAGGAACATCGTCAGAGGATGCAAGGATGTGAAGAGGAAGGCTAAGACCCACTTGGAATTGAGTCTGGCAAGGACAAGAAGGGCTTCTAAAAATACATTAGAAACAAAAGGAAGATTAGGGAAAATGTGGGCTGCTGCTGAATCAGATGGATATTGTGGTAACACAAAACACAGAAAAGGTGGAATTACTGAATGCCTTCTTTACCTCAGTCTTTACTTCTGAGGTCGGCTCTCAGTAATTCCAGACTTTGGAGGTAAAAGAGGAAGGCTGGAGAAGGAAAGACTTCCCCTTGGTCATAGAGGATTTGGTTAGAGATTGGCTCGGCAGACTTAACATCCACGGGCCCTAATGGGTTGCACTCACAGGTGCTGAGGGAGTTGGCAGGTGTTGCTGCTAAGCTACTTTCCATCAGTTTTGAAAAATCATGGATAACAGGAGAGATCCCCAATGACTGGAGGAAGGCCAGTGTTACTCTCATCTTCACACAGGGTGAGAGGGAGGACCTGGAGCAATACTCTCCAGTCAGTCTCACCTCCATCCCTGGAAAGGTGATGGAACAAATCATTCTGGAGGTTATCACTGAGCATGTAGAAGAAAATAAGGTCATCGGGAGTGGTCAGCATGGATTCACCAAGGGGAAATCAGGCTTCACCAAACTTATAGCCTTCTATGATGTCATGGCAGGATGGGTCGATGTGCGGAGAGCAGTGGATGTTGTCTACCTTGACTTCAGTGAGGCTTTTGGCACTGCCTTCCATAACATCCTCATAGGTAAGGTCAGGAAATGTGAGCTAGATGAATGGACAGTGAGGTAGATCAAGAACTGGCTGAATGGTAGAGTTCAGAGGGATCAGAGGAGTAGAATCCAGTTGGAGGCCTGTAGTCAGTGGCATTCTCCAGGGATCAATACTGAGTCTGGCTTTATTCAACTTGTTTATCAAAGACCTGGATGAAGGGATAGGATGTACCCTCAGCAAGTCTGATGATAGGAAACTGAGGGTAGTGGCTGCTACACCTTGATGGGCTGGAAAGCTGGACAGAGAGAAACCTGAAGAAACCTAATGAGGTTCAACAAGGGCAAGTGTAGGGTACCACACCTTGGAGGAATAACCCCAGGTACCAGTAGAGGTTGAGGTCTGACCTGCTAGAGACCACCTCTGCAGAGAAAGACCTGGGTCTCTTGGCAGGTGACAAGTTGACCATGAGCTGCCAGTGTGCCCTTGCCAGCAGGAGTGCCAATGGTATCCTGAGGTGCACTGGGAATACTGTGACCAACAGGTCAAGGGAAGTGATATTACCCTTCTACTCAGCTCTAGAAAGGTCACATCTGGAGTCCAGTTCTGAGCTCCTCAGTACAGAAAAGATGAGGAATTACTGGAGAGGGTCCTGCGGAGGGCCACAAAGATGATTAGGGGTCTGGAACATCTCTTATGAAAAGAGACTGCAGGAGCTGGGCCTGTTTAGTCCAGAGAGGAGAAGACTGAGAGAGGATCTTATCAATACATATAAATATTTCAAAGGTGGGTGTTAAGAGTCTGGTGCCAGACTCTCTCAGTCATGCCCACTGACAGGACAAAGAGTAGTGGCCATAAACTAAAACACAAGGGATTGCACCTCAACATGAGGAAGGACTTCATTATACTGAGAGTGGCAGAGGGAAACAGGCTGCCCAGGGAGGTTGTGAAGTCTCTCTCTCTGGAGCCATTCAAAACCCATGCAGACGAGTTCCTGTGTAACCTGCTCTAGGTGACCCTGCCTTTGACACCTGGCAAGTGATGATCTCAGAGGTCCCAACCAACTCTAACAGTTCTGCGATTCTGTGATCTATGACACCAAGGCTCTAAAGATAGAATAAATGATCTAAACTAAAATCCAAAGTCAAGGATACACTTACACACAAAAACACATCTGGGAGACTGGTGATTGGCTGTCAAGAACCTTTTGAATATTCAGTCAGCAAAATATCTGTAATTTAAATACCATGTTAGAGTTAATAACAGTTGTCAAAAAGGCACATTAACATGCCTAGGGTATTAATTCCCAACTTCCTTAACTGTATCTTTGTGAGTAAGGCAAGGTTCAACATGTGCTGTATGGTCCCAGGTGAATATATTTCCATGTTTTATGCAACGATAGCTCAAACTAGCTAAAATATTTTAAAAACATTATTAAATTAAAAAATATACTTCAAATGTAGAGAAATGGAAATTTTGTAAGTCATGTTCATTCACACAACAATCTGTAAATGTACCAAATCATAACCTTGTTTAATCAAGCTCAACCAACAAACCTCCATTTGACTGAAGTTTCCCCTAAGTTTCCATAAGAGAAGCTGATGAACCATGGGTTGGATGAGAAAGCATCCAGCTTTCAATCCAAGGTGGATTGAAAACAGTCTGAATGATCAAGCTTAGAGGGTGGTGATCAGAGATATGAAGTCTAACTGGGAGCCAGTAGCTAGCAGCGTACCCCAGCAGTCAATACTGGGTCCACACCTTCATTTATGATTAGAGTGACTGAGCAGAGGGCACCTCAGAAAGTCTGCAGATGGTACAAAACTGAGAGAAGTGGTTGATATAGCAGAGGATCTTGCTGCCATCCAGAGAGTGCTTGACCTGCTGAAGAAATGATATGACAGGGTATGCAACTGGGGAGGAAGAGCACCAGGCACCAGTACATGCTGGGATGCACCAAGATGGAAAGCAACTTTGCAGAAAAGGACGTGGCTGGACACCAAGTTACATATGAGCCAGCAATGAGCCCTTGACGTAAAAAAACCCACTATCAACAGCTCAAAAAGGTGATCCTTCCCCTCTATTCAGCATTGGTGAGATCGCATCTGTAGTGGTGTGTCGGGTTCTGGGCTCCCCAGAACACGAAAGACACGAACATACTGAAAAGAGTCCAACAAAGTGGCACTAGGATGATGAAGGGATGGGAGCATCTCTTTCACTGGAGGAAAGGCTCCAAGAGCTGGAACTGTTCTGCATGGAGAAGAACAGGTTCAGAGGGGATCTAACCAGTGTTGGCAAATTCCTGAATGGAGGAAATACAGAAGATGGAATCAGCTCTTTTCATTGGTGCCCAGTGAGAGGACAACAGACAGTAGGCAGACACTGACATACAGGAGGTTTCCTCTGAACATCCAGAAAAAGTTTTTAATGTGAAGGTGACTGAACACTGGCGCAGGTTGCCCAGAGTGGTTGTGTACTTTCCATCCTTGAAGATATTCACAAGCTACCTGGACATGGTCCTGGGCAATCATGTCTAGGCTTCCCTGCTTGAGCAGGGAGATTGGACAAGGTGATTTCCAGAAGTCCCTTCAAACATCAAACATTTAGTGATTCTGTGACTGAAGTTTTATCATCTCCCACATTTTTCAAAAGAATACACAAGGTGATGTATGTGTGACTATGAAAGATATCTCTCTTTCCTATGTTTAATTTCTAAATTCTTGACAGATGGCTTAAAGAACAATAGATTTGTCTTTTTGCACAGTAGCCTGAAAGAACAACACTATCTTAAAACAAATAATATGTTCATATTGGTCCATGTTGTAAGCCATGGAAATTGAAATAGCTGTACTGAAGTTCATTCATATCAGTGGAAGCATCTGTCCTTTTAATCCACTTAATTTTGGTTAAGGTTAAATAAATAAAATTAAAAAGAAATCGCTTAGAATGAAATTGCATGGTTGTTCTTGTATTCAACTTTATAACCACACAGCACGAGATAGGTATCAATCACTTAAGGAAGATAACATAATGGGTCGCAAGGACATCAGAGCAAGGTTCAACAGAAGAGAATCACAGAATATGGAAGGCACCCACAAGGATCATTGATTCCAACTCCCAGTCCTGCACAAGACCATCACCAAGAGTCACGCCATGTGACTGAGAGTATCATCCAGATGCTTCCTGAACTCTGTCAGACTTGGTGCTGTGACCACTTCTCTGGGCAGCCTGTTCCAGGCTGGGTGAAGAACCTTTTTCTAATATCCAACCTAAACCTACCTGATACAACTTCAGGCCATTCCCTCGGATCCTGTCACTGGTCACCAGAGAGAAGAGATCAGTGCCTGCCCCTCCTCCTTCCCTCGGAAGGAAGTTGTAGACTGCAATCAGGTCTCTCCTCAAGTCTCCTCTTTTCGAGGCTGAACAGACCAAGTGACCTCAGCCTCTCCTCATACGGCTTCTGCTCCAGGCCTTTCACCATCTTCATTGCCCTTCTTTGGACACTCTCTAATAGCTTAATAACTTTCTTATATTGTGGTGCCCAAAACTGCACACAATATTCAAGGTGTGGCCACTCCAGTGCAGAGCAGACCCGGACAATCCCCCCTCTCGACCGGCTGGTGATGCTTTGCCTGATGCCCCCCAGGACTCAGTTGGCCCTTCTGGCTGCCAGGGCACTGCTGACTCATATTCAACTTGCCATCGACCAGGACCCCCTGGTCCCTTTCCATGACACTGCTTTCCAGCACCTCATTCCCCAGTCTGTACGTACATCCAGGGTTACCCCATCCCAGGTGCAGAATGTGGCACTTCCCCTTGTTGAAGCCTATGATACAAAAACTAACTATTAGCAAGAAAGAAAAGTCTTGTAGTTCACAGAACTTCAATTATATACAGCTAAGTGATGAAAAAGAATTTCAAATTTCATACTTAGGTTTTTGCATGGATTTTTTTACTTGCAATTATCATTAAAAACATAAAAATAAGAAAAAAAGAAGGATCAGAATTTCAAGCACTGGGTTATCATAAAATGGTTGGATAGTATTCTAGTACTCTAAAGTAGTTTATTCAAATAAGCACTTAAAAGACATAGAATTTGGTCTGGAAACAAACTATAGACTTAAAGAGGAAGTTTTCTATTAAAACAAATAAAAACAAGCATAAAACTGAAAATCTGGGCTCTTACCCAGATCAAAGGTAGTACAAATCTCACCCTCCTATTTTTTTTGGTGAGGCATTTAAAGCATTTTTACCTTTGCCATAGAATCATAGCACCATAGAATGGTTTGTTTTGGAAGTGACCTTAAAGATCATCTACTTCCAACCCCTCTGCCGTGGGCAGGGACACATTCCACTATACCAGGCTAGTCATATATCTCTTAATCTCTGTCTTAAACAACTGCAAGATGGTGCATATGTACTTACAATGACATTATCCATTAGTTTAAATATCTTTTCTTCCTCCTGCAATTTAGCTTTCATATGCATTTATAAAAAGCAATCATAGTTGTTTTCTACTTTTATTCCGTCATACAGAGCAAGCCAAACTTTTCTCACCTGTTGCCTTTTTATTGACGGAGCATCCTAATTGCACAGAGCATCCTAATAGCACTTTCTGACCTTATTTTACTTTACCATCTTGGAAAGAAACAGGTGAGAATACACACAATATTGCAATTTAAATTTTATCCATGACTATTACAGATCATGAGTATTTTCCTGTCTCAGTGGAACACCTTTTCTTGCTTACCTAAGAACAATCAATTATATTGTCAAAGAAGTATAGCACATTAGTAAAGTAAAATTATTTTGTAATAAGCCATATTACATTTTATTTCAGCCTGCATTAACTTCATAATTTTAAGTATTCCCATGCCTAGTTTTTTTTCCTAATAAGGCTATATCTGTCCTACTCTCTGGATATTTATTATACTTCAGTCTGATACTATTACTCCTGATTCAGCAATTTACAAAAAGTGGAAGACAGTTTTTCATGCAGTCAGTTCATGCAGAATTATGGAATAAATAGTTTAGTCCTTGTATTTTTCATGGATTCAAAGCTATGCTGAAATATTACTTCTATTAGTCTAATTGAATAACCCTCTTAGTTACCTCTATTCCTACTGATTTTTTCTTTGCTGTATTTATGGCAGTTTTACTGTCCAGTCTACTCTTATAGCACAGCAGCTGTTTCTCAACCTCCTTTATACAATTCAAGAACATTCTCCTGTCTCTTTCAATATCTGCTAGATATAAGTCAGCATGCCTTGGAGTAGATCTCATTTTATCCCAAATCCATCTCTTAATTGTAAATGGATTTTCTAAATTAGAAATGCATTTAAGAATAGAATTTGAACCATTAGTCTTCTTCGTCAGATGACTAAAACAGTCTAGAAAGAAGTCTGAAATGCCACTAGATATTAATTGGAATGCTTATAATGGATTCATAGTAATCCATATGACGACATTCTGTTTGCAGGATGGATCTAGGAAGCTCAGACTACATGCAGTAAAATCCACTGGATTGGAATTACATCAATTTTGCATTCAGCTCAGTAAATGAAAATGTATTTATGCAGCCTGAAACTAATGCCCAGGATTTATTTTAGAATTTAAATAAAGCTCAATTTTGACAACCATTAATTAAAAAGGAAGAAATTTTTGTTTATCTGAGGTACTTTAAAGGAAAGCAAGCAAATCAAGCCAGAACAAATAGATTTATATGTGAGCACAAACACTCAATTATGGAATTGCTCTAGCCTTCATTTAATTTGGTCAAGGTTCTCTTTCGCCTTGAGCAGTAAAGTAGTCTGCTGGCAGCTAATGAGGTGAAAACAAACAGAGATAATTAGAAATAGCATAATTAACATATTTGCCACTATAAATATTGATTTGCTGGAAATTATGTTTTTGATAAATTTAAAATTGGAAAAGAAGAGAATATTTTTAAGGAAAATATATCTGATTCCATAAAGTATCATTTAATCTTTAATTTTCATTTGTTACTTTTGAAAAGTTGAATTTTACGCTAGGTGTTAATATCTCACCATAAAGAGATCAATCCACGCTCTTTTACATAGTGTCATTACATACCCATGAGGAGAAAAGGTCTATGGTAGATATTAGAACGTTTAGGATGTCCCCCCAAGCTCCTTAAAATGATCATCTCACTCCATGAGGATCAGCACTGCCAAGTCAGATATAGTGACACACTTTCTGAGCCCTTTCTAATAACGAATGGTGTGAAACAAGGTTCTTGCACCAACCCTATTCACAATCTTTCTCAGCATGATGCTCCAAAGGGCCACTGCAGACCTCGATGATCAGGATGGTATCTACATTCGATATCGTACTGATGGAAGCCTATTCAACCTAAGGCGACTGAAGGCCCATACTAAGACCTTAAACCATCTTGTCTGGGAGCTGCTTTATGCTGATGACGCCGGTCTTGTTGCCCACACAGAAGCAGCTCTGCAGCGTTTAACATCCTGCTTTGCAGAGGCTGCTGAGCTCTTTGGGCTGGAAGTCAGCTTAAAGAAGACAGAAGTTCTCTATCAACCTACACCACAGGAAGTCTTCCATCATCCCCATATCACCATTGGCCAGTCAGAGCTCAAATCAGTCCAGCAGTTTAATTACCTAGGTAGTCTCATCTCCTCGGATGGTAAGATTTACGGAGAGATAGACAGCAGGTTAGCAAAGGCATAGAGTGCTTTTGGAAAACTCCATAAAAGAGTTTGGTGTAATAAACACCTGAAGAAAAGTACAAAAATCAGTGTTTACAAAGCCATAGTGCTGTCTACTCTTTTATATGGTTCTGCATTATGGGTCATCTACCGCAACCACCTGCGTCTCCTAGAACGCTTCCATCAACGCTGTCTCCATACAATCCTAAACATTCACTGGTCAGATTATGTGACCAATACATCTGTTCTAGAACAAGCAGCAGTCACAAGTATTGAGACCATGTTGCTGAGAACACAGCTGTGCTGGGCAGGGCACGTCTCAAGGATGAAGGACCACCACCTCCCTAAGACCTTGCTCTGTGGTGAACTTGCCACTGGCTGACGCAAGAGAGGAGCCCCAAAGGGAAGATACAAGGACTCCCTGATTGACCAACATAGCTGGTCTACTCTGGCCTCCAATCAGGAGGTCTGGAGACACGTTATCTATAATGCTGCTGATACCTTTGAGAAAGCACACAGGATCACTCTCGAGGAGAAAAGACAATGTGGAAAGAACCGTGTCTTGCAGAATATACCACCTAGGGAGTCTTTCTGCTGTGCCTTTTGCAACCGGACATGTCTATCTTATATTGGCCTTTTTAGCCACCAGCGTGCTTGTAACAAACGTGGATAGAACCTTTCCCAAATCTTCATTCGTGAAACTCAACCATGATAACATAGTGTCATTACATATTAATTTTAAATAATTCAGTAATTAACATTATGTTTTCCAAGATATTTTAACCTTCTCTTCATTGGGAGAAATACAATCAAAACAATCAAACTATACTATAAATCTCCCATACAGTCCCTTCAGTTTACATGGGACAGTAAATTTCCTCTCTCACTGCGAAATAACTGTGATTCGCAGTGGTTCCTCAGTGTTATATTCAAACACATTCACAGGTTGAATTTACCATGTTAAGGATTACTGTACACCAATGGAGATCTAAAAAGTTCTGAAACCTGAATCACCTTCTGGACATGCTCCTCACTTTGTTTCACTTTATGAGATATGGAGAGACTAGCACAAACAGGATATTAATTTGACTTCCTACAGATCAGTGAACTGTTCCAGGGCCAAAGCTATATAACAAATAAAATGTGGAGTATAATCTTAAACCTAAGCAAGTCACCCAGGTTTGAAACTTCTTGGTATTACTTGGCATTTTTTTTCTACAAAAATACTCCTGAGATTGCAGGTGCAAAATTTTAATTAACTCTGTAGGTAATTGTATTTTTCACTCTGATCCGCATTGAAAACCTCTTGATTATTCTGCTCTCATTGTCCAAGTGCAGAACTCTTATTGACAGAAACCTGAATGTTGCATAGGGAACTAGTATATGAAGTGATTCTGTGGGTGGGAATGAGGACACTTGTCCTGTCGATGTGGTAGACTCAGTTCTGGTTCTGCAAAGGTTGACACAGACTTGGAGGAAAGAAGAAGTATGGTGTTTGACAAAAAATAAGCTGACTGACTGTATTTGTTCTATACTTCTGATTTTCAGTAGTGTTACTGCAATGATTTCTATTGGGCTCTACTGACTGAGAAAGTAAAAACTGGGATCATAAGCTCTCTTTATAGGGAGGGCCCATTAGGAAGAGTACGTATGATATTTGTTCACGAAGCCTAGCCATGATGGTACCGATATATATATAAAATACGTATATAGTAATTATATTTAAATATAACGATTTTCAAAAGTCAAAGTGGTTTTGGACATAGTATGTTAATAAGTTCTTCCAGAATAGCAATAAATGCCAAGCCCAGGTTGGATACAAGTGCTTTTAGTTTAATTTAATTATTTTAGTTAGGTTTAGCAGTTCCTAAAAGTAGACTGTGTCTACCCTACAGGAGTGGGGTGTTAGGCATTATTAGACATGTGCAAGATGTATTGGGAATACTCCCTAATCACAGAGAACTACTGATGTATCGACCTTTGACTCTAGTATCTCTTGGTGAGATTAATAGCTTTACTTTATCCTCCACTCCGTACCACTGCAGCCAAACAAATAATTACCTTCGATTTTCCTCCTCTCTCTCCCTGACCACTGGCACCACTACACTGAAACAAAAAAACGAAAATCTTCTTGTCAGAGAATACACTTGAGACCAAATATGAGCAGACTAAGCTATTTCATTTGAAAGGGACGTGCGTTATTTCAGAAAGTAGATTTGCAGAGCCAACTGTAATTCAACACTGCAGAGAGACAGAAGACTCAGAGATGGAATGGAAATAATCTGGAAATAGCTGCAGAGACCCATAGTTTTAAACTAATGTCCCAGTCAGTTACATACATTTTAATCTGAAAATCCAGAGTCCCAGAGATTAACATGCAAAGATAATCATTAGCTTTCAGATAGGATTTCAAGTCAGACCTGATATTAATACTAGACATTTAAATACATCTGCATTAATTCAATTTCTTTAAAAAGATATGAGTAAAGTCAGTACATGCTTTATAGAGGCATTGCATTTATTGCATATATCTATATGAAGAAACCCATCCTATACTGCAGGTTGAGCCTACCTATATTTATGAAAGATCAGATAATAATCAGAACAAGAAAGAATCTTTCTCATAGTAAAAATACTATCTAAATAACAATGGGAACGTGTGGGAGCCCAAACTCAGTTTTCAGCAAAGGAAAACAAGGGCTGACAAAAACCTCGTGATCTGAAGGAGCTGGATCCTTCTCACAAGACCTGTTAAAGTTCTACCTCATGGATCAAGCCTGGCTCCAGCAGAAATCAGAAAAGACTTTTGAGATGATTGTATCAAACCATGTCTAAACCCCTGTAATCCCTCTATCCCCCATGTAATCCTACTAGAAGACAAATTAACTATTTAGAAATTGCAGTAAAAACTTGTGTAATTCCATAATTAACATAACTCGTCCCCTTCATTAACATGTCCAACCTCAGATACCTTTAAAATCATGTTCTCATGTTCAATAAACTATTCCAGTTCCCCCATACTGGAATCGTGTCTAGTTTTTATTTTTCAGACCGCCACTGGAAAGTATAGGAATTCAGGTTTCTCAAATTTTATCACTGTATTTTTCTACTAAATCAAGTACATCAATCAGTCTCCTTGAGACATATGAACAACATTAAGCACAGAAAAAAAAAAAAAAAAACAAACCAAAAACCAACACTGGATAGTATTTGATTTATTTGAGGACAACATAAGATACAGAGTTTCCTAACTCGACTTTAGGATTAAAAAGAATATATGTAAATGTGACATTATAGTGGGTGTCCCCTATAGGCCACCTAACCAGGAATAACAAGCAAATGAGGCCTCAGAGACAAGGTGGGGGGCGGGGGGGGGCTGGAAGAAAGACATACCCTTGTGGAAAAGGTTCAATTCAGGAAAGACATAGACAAACTGGACAGACATGGGCCCTGATAGGATTCACCCAAAAATCCAGTGGGAGCTGGCTGACATTGCAAGGCCACTCTTGATAATCTTTGGTTGATCATGACAACTGCGAGAGGTACTCGGAAACTGGAGGATTCTCTATTATGTTTTCCACCTTAATCTTTTCTGAACTGTTCAGTAAGGAATATACAGATCTTAAATTATTTATTGCAATAACCATGATGGAAGTAGAGATATTGGAATCAGTGTATGTACCAAATACATCTATTCATCTTTATGCTTAAAAAAATTCTACAAAGCTCTCACAGTTAAAGGCAATAGGAAAATCTTAGAAATTTTTCAATTCTTACAGGAAAATATATTGCTGAATAAAAGCAACTACTGTATCTTAGACTAATAATTTCTCAGAAAGAACAATCATCTATGGAACAAATATACTCTTTTGATTTTTTTTTTAATGCTAGTGACTCACACAGTTGCTAATAACAATTTTCCATTGTTATTAGCAGTTGCAACCTGTCCACTTGCAGACATTTC